AAAAACAAAAAACAAAAAACAAAAAAAAAAAAGGTTTGCTCACTTGAAAAGGAGATCGGAAACTGGGTATGTGGGCATTCACCTGCCATCCTGTTACTCAAGAAGCTGAGACAGAGGATCATGACTTCCTGGACAGTCTGGGATACACAGTGAGACTGGGCGGGTTAGAGAGAGAAGAGAGAATTGTGTTTCTAAAACTTCAAAAAATTAATAGTGCACAAGTACTGTGCTAGAAGTTACTGAGTCCCATTTCCTGGCTTAGAAAATGAGGCGTCTGTAGTTGAGGGACCTAGCAATCTCTATTCTGTTAACTCCAGGCCAAAACAGGAGTGTAAATGAAGCTATCACTCCATGTCACAATAAAATTATGCACTCATCAAACAGCATGCCGGCATCTCAGCTCATGGGACAGGGGAAGAGAGTATCCAGGCACAGAACCTGCAGTGTGTCAACCGCACTGGCCTCACACAAAGTGCTCACTTTCACATGGGTCTCTGGGAAGTATCCACACAGCCCTGCCTGTTCCCAGAGTGCAGGGTTTGATGTCATACATTTCTCAAGAATAGTCTGCATGTAAATGAGTTCTAGTTGCAAATAAACCTATACTTTCACTATAATTAAATCTTGCCCAGCAGTGGTGGTGGCACACACCTTTAATCTCAGCACTCTGTGAGTTTGAGGCCAGCCTGGCCTACAAAGTGAGTTCCAGGACAGCCAGGGCTGTTACACAGAGAAACCTGCCTTTAAAAAAAAAAAAAAAAAAAAAGAGTTGGGGGGGGGGGAGAGAAAAGAAAACTTAAGCCCGGAGGAAGGTTCACCAGGTGAATGCACCTGCCAGCAAGGCTGATGATATGAGTTTGATTCCTGGGACACTCGTGGTGGAAGGAGAGAAATGACTTCAGCAAATTGTCTTCTGAACACACTTACCTCATGGCACGTATGCACACACACACACACACACACACACACACACACACACACACACGGGGGGGGGGGATTTTAAAGTGTGTGTTTTTAACATTTTTTTTTTTAATTTGTAGACTCCAACTTTAGATCCACATACCTCTCACCCTTAGATAGAGAAGCTTCCTTTTGGCAATTGATTCAGAAACCCACACACGGTCAGTGTGCAGGGACTAAGAGGCTGTAGAGTGCTCAGCCCTCAGTGGGATGTATAGATCACATCCCTCCTCCCCCGCCACACACACAAACACTCGGGGATCTTCAGAGAAGCGGCAGCAGAGATACTTAGGCACCCACACTAGTTGTGAAAGCATGCATAAGGCCTGCCCGAGCTCCCGCCAGACAAAGTCCCAGCATGGAGGGGAGGGGAAGGGCCACCTCTCTGAAGAGCTGTTGGCATTTGGTAGTTGCTGGGAAAGGGAGAGGCAGTCTTCTTTACTAAGGTGTGGCCCCTGATAGATCTTACCCTAGGGCAGGCCTCACTCCCATAAGTAGTCGAGCAACACAAACTGGACCTGATGTTTTTTAAGAAAGAAGGGGAGGGGGCCGGGAAGCAAACCTGAAGTTACATAGGAAGGGAGGTAGGAGTGGAGAGGGTGGGTCTGGGGGAAGCTGGAGAGGGGATAAATATGATAAACGTATATTGTATGAAATTCTCAATGAACTCACGGAAATATTATAAAATAAGTATTTATAACTTTAATGATGTCCTTTTAGTCAGAACTTACTCCGGCAGTGAGTAATTCATTCAATTTCTCTTTTCAGCAAATAAATAAAATCTCAGCAACTAAATACATTACAGTGGAGGGGCTGGAGAGATGGCTTAGTGGTTAAGAGCACTGGCTTCTCTTCCAGAGGTCCCGAGTTCAATTCCCAGCACCTACATGGTGGCTCACACCATCTGTAACTCCAGTTCCATGGGCATGTAGCACACATACATGTAGGTGTATGTACACATGAATAAATCTTTAAAATTACATTGCAGTGAAACCAAATAAAACTGAAAACTATGTAGCCCTTAAAATGATGTGGGAGTAGGTAGATGTTCGTGTAGAAAATGTCCAGAATCCGTGAAGTGGGAAGCCAAGTACCAGCCACGGGTACAGTTTAATTCATTTTTGAAAAACTAAAAATCACATGTATAAAGTCACATATGGGGGGGGAAAAGGGCTTTGAAGGACAATTAATCTCCAAATAGGATTGTTTGTGACCATTATCTTCTTGTATATTCCCTTCTAATCTCTTCTGGGCCTTTTGGCTAAGATCAAGTGTAGTATATTCCCTTCTAATGCTCAGAAACTTCTAGTAGAATATGTACTAATAGTGAAATTGGCGGGGGGCGGGGGGGGGGGGAGCAACTTCAGAGGAAAAAAGCCTCCCCGTGTCTTGTTTCCATGTATACTACTCAGAAAGCATAGGCAAGAGTAACATGAATCAGCAAGTGCTCCTTTTCAGAAAAGGATTTGGTTTTATGTCTGTGCCCATGTCTGAGCGAGTAGGTGCACATGAGTGCAGGTGCCCTTGGAGGCCAGGAGAGAGCCACCCTCTGGAGCTGGAGCTACAGGCAGTCGTGAACCACGGATGTGGGCCCTGGCAACTAAAGCCAGGTCCTCTGCAAGCACAGCAAACCCCCTTAATCACTGAGCCAACGCTCCAGGACTAGCAAATACTCTCTGTAAAGGGATAAGTTATAAATATTTTAGGTTTGTAGGCCATACTTATCTTTCGCAACCACTCAAACAGCTTATCATGTTTAGCTCCATGGGATCTAATGCCCTCTTCAGAGTCCTGCAGGCACTTGAATTCACACATGCACATATCCACACGTGAGCATACATATGAATAAAAAACGAAAATAAGCCAGGCAGTGGTGTCGCACGCCTTTAATACCAGCACTCGGGAGGCAGAGCCAGGCGGATCTCTGTGAGTTCAAGGCCAGCCTGATCTACAGAGCGAGATCCAGGAAAGGTGCAAAGCTAAACAGAGAAACCCTGTCTGGGGGCAGGGGGGACTTTTCTGAAAAAAGAGAAATCTTGCCAAGAAAAATCTTGAAAATTTGAACAAATATGGATATTGAAAGCCAAACACATACCACACACATGCAATGTAAAACAGTAGGAATGCAGTGGCCACTATGAGAGGAGCCCCCTTGTCTGGAACGCCTTGAACTGTTAACCTTAAGAAAGAATCCAGTGAAATAACTTCCCCAGTCCTTACTCGCCTGTGAAGTTTCCTGTTCCCTAAGATAAAAAGAAAACTACAGGTCACAGTTAACAAAGATGTAAAAGACTGTTCTCATGTTCTACATTCAAGTAAACTTGTTAAATATAATATCCAAGGCCAAAATAGAGTGGTTTATGTATATTTTTTACATCCAGGGAAATAAAGTCTATGGCAGGTGAACAGTCTCTTCATAGGGGAGGTGCTTGCAAGATATGGAGAATAGTACATAAATGGTCATGGTATCCAGTCCAGAAGGACAGGACTGGAAACTAGCCCAGAGTCAAGCTCAGCCCATCTTCACCTATCAATTGTTTGGGTTGTCTCTGACCTTGAGTGCTTGGGGAAATTCTAGACAGAGATTTAATTAGAAAACCCAGAACTATCCAAGAGCATCAGTCTCGGGGTAGAAAGAGAGACGGAGGTTTGGATTGTGCTGAATGACAATTCTGTGTGCTAAGGATTTATCAATGAACAGCCTTCCATGGATACTTATTTCCCAGATGTTGTGGGGAGCAGATCATCTCTAGACCTTTATAGACAAGCAACGACATGGAACAGTTTCAAAGGGAGGATGGGTGTGCCAGTGATGAACTCATCTTTGGTGGGGTAACACTTGGAATAATTTCTTAGGGAGTGTAGCATTTGAGCCAGGCCCTGATGGAGCTCCAGCTACATGAAAGGGAAGGGCACTCATAGAGCTGGATCAAAAATAAAATTTGGAATCACAGAAGCTGCCAGACCTGGGAAACGCAGAAAGCTTGGTACATTGGGAATGTAGACACCATTAATGCTAAAGTTAGGGAACTGGGAAAGTAGAGCGAAGGGGTTGCCTTTGTCCAAAGAGATTGGGTGAGACCAGCAGGCAGCAGGCTGACAAGAGCTTGCTTGCAGTTTTAAAAGATAACTTCACTGTGTAGAGCCAGAGTCCGGCGCCAACTTCAGCAAGCCCACTTTATATTTTCATAAACATACCATATAGGGGCTGGGGATGTAGCTCAGTTGGTAGAGTGCTCTCCTAGAATGTGCAAGGCCTGGATTGCATCCCCAACACCAAATAACTGGGTGTGGTGGCACACAAATCTAATCCTAGCACTTGGAAGGTGGAGGCAGGGGGATCAGAAGTTCCAAGTAGGTCATCCTCAACTACATAGAAAGTTGGAGGTCAGCTAGAGATAATAAGACCCTGCATAAATAAATAAATATTTCTTAAATACTTCACACACACACACACATGAATTCACCATTAGGAGCCTCAGAACTTCTCAAATGATTAACATATACTCCCCATTTTACAGACGAGGAATTCGAGGCATGGAGAGGTTAAGGGACTGATTTGAAGTCACACTGCAAATAAATGATGAGACAGGATAAAATCCCAGAAGAACCAGGAGTCTCCCATTCCATTGTTGCCTTCCGTGGGCACCCTCCTGTGTCACAGGGGGTGACGCAGTACCAGCAGAGCCACAGGCCTTAGGAACGCTGTTTAAAGATGCATGTTTTCCCTTTATATGTAGTTTTTTTTTTGTCAATAAATTTGTTTTAAGTCTGTGAGCTACCCTGTAGAAGAAGCCCTTCAACCTATTATGGAATACTTTGACATGAGTCTGTAAAATTGATTGAGACAGTTTGCCAAAGCAGCCGGTCTTAATTAATGACTCACTATAACCTCCGGCTTTATTAGGCGTATATTTCTAGTATATTGGCACATATATTAATGACTGGCCTATGCATAAACTGACAGTTTTAAAATGATATAAGATAACTTGTTTTCTTAGGAGGAATTCACTTTTGCCTTGGATGTAGAGTAAGATTACTATTAGTTCAGTAAATTATGACCCCTGTTTTGTCTTGATCCCCAGCAAAGAAAGACCATATTTCCTTCCACGATGAAAATGCACTTCACGTGAGTCTCTTTGGTTAATCTCATGCTCCAACAAGCAAGACCGTTGGCTTTGTGGGCAAGAAGTTTCCAAGTAGGGGCTGGCAAGATGGCTCAGTGGGTAAACGGGCCTGCAGCTGAGCCTGGTGACCTGAATTCAGTCTCTGGTACCCACGTGTTAGAAGGAAAGAACCAACTCACGAGGCCTGTCTTCTGACCTCTCCATGTGTGCCATGTCACATGTATACCCACACATGTTCTCACAAAATAAGTAAATAAAATGTCATGGAAAGTTAATGTGTTCAAGTAGAACAGCATTCAATCAGGGATAAGGTTTCCAAGTAATATCCCATGCTGGTTTAACAATCCACAGTATTTTCTCATATCTTAAATGATACTCAGACATTTACACACATACACCCATACACACACACACACATTTGCACACTTCATACACACAGATCTGAGAAAACTTATTTGGGGAGTCTCTTTAATTTTTTTTTTATAAAATGCATATGGAACATTCTAGATTAATATAGGCTGTCACTACAATAAATGTTATGAGCCTTAGGACGGAAAGATTATCTACTGTCCTGGTTTAGTTTGATTCATGTTATGAGGAAACACTGACGGTACCAGCCTAAGGAGGAAAAGGTTTATTTGACTTACAGGTCACAGCCCATTGTGAAGGGAAGACAGGGCAGGAAGCTGGAGGCAGAAACGGAAGCTGAGAACACAGAGGAGTGCTGCTTTCCGGTTTGTTACCCATGGCTTGCTCAGCCTGATTTCTTATACACCATTGGACCACCTGCCCATGGCTGTCACCACCCACAGTGGGCTCCAGCCCTCAGACATTAATCATCAATCAAGGAAATGCCTCCCCCCCCCAGACATGCCTACAGGCTAATCTGATGGAGGTTTCTTCTTCATAGATGACCCTGGCTTGTCTCAAGTTAACAAAAAACTAACCAGCCCACGTCCCCATGGGAAGGATGTTACAATGTTACCCCCCTGTGGTTGCTGTGGAGACAGAAGTACCAAGTACCACTTTAGGGGTTGGAGAGGTAGCTCAATGGTCAAGATCTAGTACTAGCCTCCCTGAGGACCAACCAGAGTTCAGTTCCTCAGTGGGCACATGTACTCACATGCACACAGACACACACAATTAAGAACAATAAAAGAAATCCTTTTCAAGGACTGACTCGCTGTTGAATTCCCTCATTTTCCTGCCTCTGTTACTTCTTCTAAAGCAAACTTCAAAATTAACGTGATGACTCCATGTAACAGACTGGTCAGTTACAGATTGCCAACTCTATGGCATTCAGCAGGTTTTTGTTTTTGTTGTTGTTTGGTTGGGTTTTTTGTTTGTTTGTTTGTTTGTTTGTTTGTTTGTTTGTTTTTCAAGACAGGGTTTCTCTGTGTAGTTTTGGTGCCTGTCCTAGATCTCGCTCTGTAGACCAGGCTGGCCTCAAACTCACAGAAATCCGCCTGGCTCTGCCTCCTGAGTGCTGGGATTAAAGGCTTGTGTCAACCCTGCCAGGCAGCATTCAGCAATTTAAGTTTTTCCCAACAGTGGAAGGTAATCTCAGGATGATTTTCCCGAAGAGTTGACAGAGGTAGCTGGTTTTTTTGTTTTCTGGCTGAAGTGGTACCATCAAGTGGCGAGTGAGGAGCCATTTCCCATTCACTGAATGAGGGAGGTGGCCTAAAACTCAGTCTCTTCGGCACTTTTTCACATTTACATTACTTCTAATTGCCTGCATCAGGAGATTCAATTTATATTTTTGCATTTTGTGATTTCAAGTTACTATATTTTAAACATTCATAAAAGGTGCTTTGCTGTGGGCTTTTTTAAAGTTTTTTTTTTTAATTACTTTAAGTTATGTGCCTGTGTGTAGGCGTGTGCATTGTGAGTTCAGGTGCCCACAGAGGCCAGAGCTGTCCTGTCCTCTAGAGCTGCCAAGCAGGGAGGGGGGGATCTGACGCCCTCTTCTGGATTGCATGGGCACCTGCACACACACACAGCGAGAGTTTTAAAAAAGTAACAATAAATGTTTCAATGAATTTCTCACTGTTCTGGAGGTGGAGAGGTTCAAGATCAAGCATCTGTCATCCTCTGCTACCCCGGTACAATGTTCTCAACAATTCCATGGGAGCATTTTCATTTTCTTTCTTTCTAACCACACTGTCATAGCTACATTCAGGTGTACTACTTCTGAAATATGGGGAGACAAGAAGGGAAGTTTACATCTCCTGAAGGTGAATATCATACTTAAAAGTATATCATTTCACAACTGAAACGTTCACTTGCTCGAACAGCAGTTTA